CTTCCCATACAGCAAAATGTTTCGAGACACCATTCACCAGACACCAGATACAACATTACTTCCCATATACCAAAAGCTTCGAGACATCAGACACCAGACACAACATTACTTCCCATGTACCAAAAAGCTTCGAGACACTAGACATCAGACACCAGGTACCTAGGGGGTGCGAATATACACACCCTACTCTGCACGTGACGATGACATTTTCACGTGCTTGTCCATCGTCAAGTTTAGAACAACACATCCGATGGTTTTTTCGCCTTTCTGGCGTTCTTCCTTATCGTGTCAAACCAAATAATTGAAATATGTTACGCAGAAACTCATTATAGTAAAACGTTAATATTAAATGTCGGGCTAAGAAAGTAGATTCGACATGTGAGTCTGAAAATTCAGGTCAGATCACTGTTAGAAATTATTGACCAATAATTTTTATTCCGATTGATAAAAAATCGTTGAAACAAAAGCTGAGTTCTTGAATTTCCAGGCTTCCACGGAAAGTTAGCAATAAATGAATCTGTCTTTTTCATGGAATATTGAATATGTCAAATTATTTACGAAATATGCTATCCCTCTACAATATCATGCGATGATGCAACAACTTTATAAACAAAATTTAATATTGATAGCTGCAACGGACAAAATTTGCTATTTTTCTATAAAACTTTGAAGACGTGCTAGAATATTTTGCGTCACTCCTCATTTTTCAGACAAATTTACAGAACACACTGCACGATCGCAAATTTTTCATGATTAATTCGAGGCTGTCTGATTGTTTTATTCCGGTAAATCCACACATGAAGAGCTTCAAAAAAATGTCTGTTATCTATTGGTGTTGAAGAAAAATTATATTCGTCATTCGGCCGAAAACAACTTTTTTGACACTGCTGCTACGTTTAACTCATGCCGAAAAGTGCCTTTTCGTTTACTTATAAACGAAAAAGGTACAGTTCGATCACTCGCTGAAGGTAACATCACAGGCAACAAATATTAGTCGACATATGTGAGACGGAATTTTCAGTTTGTGTGATTGGCAACTTCACACTCGTGAAAATTCTGTCCAACTCATTTCGAAATATACTATTCGGATTCGTGTAATTGCATTCCTCGGCTTAGCCTTGGTTCGCAACCCACACTCGTCAGAAAATTTTTTTTCGGCCTTGTGACAAAAGTAGCTATTTCCTTTCCATTGTTTATTTCTTCGAAATATTCTGCATTCTCATCGCCCGAAGTCCAAGTGAAAAAAATGATCGGTTTAAGTAATTGGGTAGACTGGGGCAAAGCGGGGTGGCCGCGGCATAGTGGGATACATAAAAAAAAGGTCAAAATAGAGGAATTCCAGATGTTAATGAGGGTTCAATCAGGGATTAATAAAAAGTCGAAAAAAGTAAAAAAAACTCGAATAATACTCAGGATAAATTTTTTAAAAATGCAAGAACTCTGGAAATACTTCCAATTTTTTCAAAAACTGGGATGAGCCGTCATGTTGGGTATTTTGAGTAATACTGAGTACTCACAATGATCTAGACTTAAATAGTGAGATAAATTTACTAAACCCATCCCCCAACAGTCAGTAACTACGGAAAACAAGTGGAAAATTGCCGATGTATAGCATATAGTATAGCTTTTTTTGGTAATAAATTAACAATATGCTTCCGAATGGTCATGTTGCAATTTTTTTCCTTCCGTATATGATTTATATTTTACTTTATTTCATTAAATTGAATAAGTTTTTTTTCAATCACTTGTGTCAAATTTTCTGCTCAGTTGAATTTTATAATTATTATTATTCTTATTATTATTTTCTCTTATAGAACTTTTTATTTATTTATTTATTTATTTTTTTCATTATTCTTTCATCACTCTCATTGTTCCTTTGTAGCATTCATTTTATAAGCTACATTTCATGTTTTCCTTTCACTTTTATATTTTCATTGAATCGTTTTCTAGTTATTACAATTGGCTTCTTTCTTAAGCTCTGTATTTATTAGGTGTGCGACTTAATTTTTACTGATTTTTCAGTAAATTTATTTAATGTAAAAAATAGAGAACAACGAACTTAATCTTGGAAATATTGTCCATCGTTTTCTATGACCTTGTGCCATCTCTCAGGTAAAATTCGAATGCCGTCGCGAAAGAAACTCGCAGGCTTCGAGGCGATAAAGTCATCGACGAATCTACGCACATCGTCCACCGTTTTAAACTGTTTATCCACTAAGGTGTACTGCATGGACCGGAACAAGTGATAGTCGGATGGGCCCAAGTCTGGTGAATATGCCGCGTGCGGGAGAACTTCCCATCCCACGTTTAAGAGGGTCTTCTGAGTCGCGCGAGCAACGTGAGGTCGAGCATTGTTCTGCAGCAGTATGACTTGCCTGCTTCTTTGCCCAGTAAATGACCTTTTCCGATAAAGTTCTTCGCTCAGTTCGTTCAGTTGTCAGCTGTAGCGTTCCGCAGTAACCGTCTGACCTATTTCCAGGAGTTCGTGATAAAGCACATCCTTCATGTCCCACCAGATACACAGGAGAATCTTCTTTAAGTGGATGTTCTGTTTCGGCGTCGATGTGCTGGATTGTCCGGGATCTACCCACGACTTTTTACGTTTGGGATTCTCGTAAAAAATATACTTTTCATCACCCGACACAATTCTCCACAAGAAGTCCTTTTTTTGTTGCCGGCCAAGCAGTGCAAGGCACGTATTCATACGTTGACCTAGGTTTCGTTCGGTCAACACATGTGGGACCCACCTTCCAAGTTTTTGGATTTTTCCCATTTGACGCAAACGCTTAGAAATAGCTGTTCGGGTGACTCCTAACTGAGCTGCAAGCTCTTGTTGCATTTGCGTTGAGTCTTCATCTAGTAGAGTTTGCAATTCCGCATTTGTAAACTTTCGAGGCTGTCCAGGACGCGGCTGGTCACTCAGATCGAAATCACCACTTCTAAAACATTTGTACCAATAATTACACATTTCATAAGATACAACGTCGGCACCAAGAACACTGCACAGTGATTCCCGTGCTTCAGAAGTGCCGAATGTGCTGTTTATCAGTTGCCATCGTAAACTCTGCTATTCTGAAAGGTCATATAACTTACATAGACTTGTCATTCCCTATACTGAAACCTTTTGTCCGATCCTTTCAAAACCAGAAAAGACCGCGAATATATTTCTATTTTAAATATAATTTTAAGCTCGAAGAAAAAATCTGTAAAAATTAAGTCACACACCTATAACAGGTTTGTCGTTTCCATAAGCCACGTATAGGTTATGGCGGTCGATTATTATGAATATGGGTCATTCCACCAAATATCGGACAAAGAGCCGGCCTCAAAATTTTCGAGCCTGTTTTTTCTTCATGATTCCATTCAGTACATCAAATTAAAGAGAAAAAACGAATTCCAGTGGCTTTCGTTGAAATTAACGCGAGGAATCATTTAATTTTGTTTTTATCTTGAAATTCACTTTTTATTTTTTTTCCGCTATACCAATTTTGAAAAAAAATATCAAAAATATCATGTCTCATCGAAAATTTTCTGAATTTTCAGAAAAAAATATTTTTTGGATTTAACTAAGTTTTTGAGTTGAAAAACTCGAAAAAGATTCAAAATGATCTTTTCAACGCTTACCTCACTTTTTTTTTTCAACATTTTTTTTTTTCCTGAAAGTTGAGAAAATTTGCCAGGGCATACCAAATTTTCAATTTGCGCTTTTGAAAACTCCATCGATAGCAATGTAAAACGTCGAATTTTTCAATTTTTCAAATCTCAGGTGACTAAAAATTTACAATAATTGAATTTGTAACTAAATATCGTTAACACTTTTTTGGCGACTCGAATGCATCTACAGTACTACATTTTCAAATGATACGTGAGTGGAAGTGGAGTGTGTTTTTCTCAATGTTGCAATGTTTCTTTTTAATAATGAATTAATTAGCAACTAGATGAAAGTAGCAAAATTACTTTCATTTGCGAATTAATTGCGCTATTTGGAACGTGTCGGAACTACTGTAAACTCTACATCGTAAACTGTGTGGACCTTCTAGTGTGATTGAGTGGAACTTATTCGTCTCGACGACGGTTGGCGCATGTGACATTCTTAGTTCCAAGAAAATTCGATTCGTTTCATATTCTGTTTGAGGGATGAAACAATATTCAACTTCGGTCGTCTGCGAAGAGCCCCACTGGTACAGATCTAATGCCGTACTAATTGAAGAACCATTGAGTGCCTGCATGCTCGCTCGTCGAGCGTTTCGTTTCAGAGATCCTCCGAGTCCATCTGACGCCGTTTTCCCGTGAGCAGTAGGGAAAAAATTCCACTTTGCCAGGATGTTGAAGTCCTTCAGATGATTCAGCAGATTTACGAACGCATTTTTGTTCTTGAACTGGGAGGGAGCTCCATCTGAGAAATAGTTCGCAGTGCTGACGTGATCAAATTTGGACTTCCACAGTTTTATCAATTCCTTCTGAAACATATACACCGACACACTATCGTGTTTCAGACAATCTCAGATTCCGGTCCAGGATAAGGTCTTCAGTTCATCTCCACTTTTATAATAAATAATAGCTGTAAAAAGAGTTGCTGCAGAATTCTCATAATAATATTGCTGAATTGCTTCTTATATCAGAAAAACGTAATTTTTGGAGAAGTCCATGATGATAATTAATTCATCATGAGCTAATTCGCCTTTCAAGTATTTTAAATACTCCCGCAGTTTCCTCACAATAAAATCATGGGGCAAAAGTATCTCGAATTTTTCAAATAGTGTTCCTATGAAATCTTCCACATTAGACACAACTGTTGCCAATTTACAGCGGTTTTCCAATGTCCAGGCTTTGTAATTTATTTGCTCGATTTCAAGTTCTTCAAATCGATTCGTGAATAATTCAGCAAGATAGCTTAGTTAGTTAGTTAGTTAGTTTCGCATGCGGATGGATGGATTAGCCATCCTATAGCCACCGAACTCTTAAAGAGTTATTGTAGCTCCGCTTGAATTTACTTCGGATCAAATTTCGAGCCCAGCCTTGACGGCCAGTCGTAGAAGATCCAAAGCACTCCTATCCTTGATTTGATCACACGTGGGGAAAGCAATCCCCCAGCAGCGTAATCTTGTCACGGCTAGCGCTGGACAGTAACACACTATGTGTAGACTGTCCTCTTTTTCTTCATTACAGAATCTGCACAGGGCATCTTCCCCGATGCCCATGATTGTGCAATGAGCTTTGAACCTGCCATGTCCTGAGAGGAGCCTGATCACAGTGCTCAAGCTCTTCCTGTCCATGTCAAGTAGCTGTCGAGCTTTCTTGCTATTCAGACCGGGCATCATTGCCCTGGCTTTCCTGCAGCTCTTTGTGTTCTTCCAACGGTTGTTGTGTTCCCGTCGAATCTTGTCCTTGATGATTTTATTTCCCGTGGCTAGGGGGACTCCTATCGGTTCCGCTTCGGTATCGCTTAGCGATCCTTGCTTCGCCAGTTCGTCCGCCTTCTCATTGCCAGGGATACCTTCATGTCCTGGAACCCAAGCCAGGGTTACCCTGTTTTGTTTTCCCAGCTTTTCTAGCTCTCCCATCGTCTCCCAGACTAACCTAGAGTCGGTGGTAGATTTCGCGAGTGCTTTAATGGCGGCTTGACTGTCTGACCAAATATATATATATTTGTTCTGTGTCGGCCGATTTACCAGAAATTCTGTGCACTTCTTGATTGCCAGAACCTCTGCTTGAAACACTGTGGCGTAGATCCCAAGGGACCAACTGCTTTCATAGTGCT